GTTTCACCATGTTAGCCAGGATGGTCTCGATCTCCTGACCTCATGATCTGCCCGCCTCGGCCTCCCAAAGTGCTGGGATTACAGGCATGAGCCACTATGCCTGGCCAAGTTATATGAATTTTTAAGTACTTATGTATGAATGATATATACTTAGACCTCTTGTGATAATGTCCTGGCAACATCTAGCTTTCCATTAGAGGCTTTAAGAAGAGCTACTAGAACCAGCTGAAGAAATAGTGAAATTGTGAGGAAATAGGAAACTATATGGCAGTATATTTTTCATTGCATAATTTATTCAATTTAAACGAATTTTAAAGAACATACATTTTAAAATAGAATTTTAGTCCATAATTTTTAATTCTCAGATGTTCTCAGTTTTACAAAATACTCTTTTAAATTAGGTACATATTTTTATATCCATCTCAAATAGATTATATTTTAAATTATTTTCTTATCAGATTTATCTGAACAAATTTTATTTGTTAGACGAAACACCTTCAAATGTTTTACTGTAAGTAATAGGGAGATGATTTTTCAATGTAGGATTAGGTGGACAATTCTTTTTATCCTAAGTCATCAGTATTTGAGTTACTTCATTTAATAATCAAGCTTTAGTATTTCATACATCATTTCTTGTTTTCCAAAATATAATTTATATTCACAGACTAATATATGGAATTTGAATTTAAATGTTTTAGAATTAAAAAATGAAAATTTTTTTTTCTAAATGGTTTCCAATAGATTAGTGGAGATATAATACTCATATCTTTGCTTTTCTTATTTTATATATCAAATGATTTATGCTTATTTTTATAAATTTTGCAGTTATTTTTCAATATAAATTGAATTCATTGAAAATTTTAAATGTATAAGTTTGCATAAAAGACTACTGATGCCAGAAACCTCATTATCTTTAATCTTAACTGAATTAAGCATTTATTACTTTAAAATTTTTCTATAATTCTGAAATTTCTGTATGTCTTGTGGGTAAATGTGTGTGTGTATATATGTGTATATCATCTTTCTAATGTATTTTCTGAAGTGTGGTCTCGAATCCTGACTGCCACTTTGTAGGTATTAATCAAGTGTAAATTGCTTAACAACTTTAAGGTTGTTTTTTAAATCTGTTAATTGGGAATCATTTCACCTACCTCACAGGGTTGTTGTGAGGAAAAAACAATAAAACATATGTGAAAGAGTGCTTAGCATATGGATAGATGTGCAGTGTATGAAAATGAATGTTACCAGATCTTCAGTGGCCCCCATTGTCCTCGGGATAAAATCCAAATTCTGTGTCATGGTGTGTGTTCTGGCTCGCCCTTATGTCTTCAGCCCCATTTCTTTCCTTGCAAACTGCACATATTGATTTATTGATACTATAGTCTTCATAGTTCCCAGGATATATCATGCTTTCTTTTTGACTTTTATCAGAATGCACCATTCTTTTAAACTACTCACTTTCTCCCCTTTATCCCTAGGCTACTCTCCTCTGTATAACTCAGCCTCATCTCTCAGGCTTTGCTTTCTATTTCTTCTGCACTAAGATGTCTTCTGTCCCTTCTTCCTCACTTGTATATTTTCTTGGATGATCCTTCTGTGTGATCCTTTGGGCTGTGTTTATTCTTTTCAGCAATTATTGCATGTAACGTAACTGCCTTTGTACTTGTCTGTTTCCTCTACTAGATGTAAACTTGGAGAGGGTGGAGCCTATCTTATTTGCCATTTTCCTCCACTACTTAAGAGTTTCTGTAACTCAGGAAATATTTGAACATTTTATAAATAGATGTGTTTCCCCTAAACAAATTCGCAACATAAGTAATATGAGTACTACTCCTTAAATAAAGCAATTTGGATTCTATATTTATAAAATGTATTTCCGGTCCCACGATAATCATAACAAAATGATGGCCATATAATTGGTCTCCTTTGCCCACCATTTATCACTCTAATGGGTTTATTAGAAAGACTCAGGGTGCAAGCAAAGTTACTTTATTCTCTCTAGTCACTTTACACACAATTCCATTCTGAATATTATGTTTTCTACCCCTTGATAAAATTCTGTTTAAGTGTTGTTATTTCCATATCTTCTCTATTCTTGCTTTTCTGCTGCTGCTTGCTTTTTTTCTTCTCAATTTTTTTCTTTCATTCTTTC